AAGTTACGAATGTTTTCACACTATATTATGCCCTAGATTTTCATCTGAATATTTACAGGATTTAAAAAATGCTCAATCTACTTTTAGTGTTGATCTTATGTTCTTATATTCTTACTTGACTCAAAATATTCATATATTAAAGATGTTTACTATCAGTACTAACCAACTGGGATAGTAATTCAACAAGAACTTCTCATTCTCAGTCTAGGTAAGACGACAAAGAAATAAAATGATTATTTTACTCGATAGACTATGAAATCTCAAATTATCACATTAGACATTCAATAAAATCTTCTCTTCCAGAGGTCAAGAATTTCAACCCAGAAAACTTCATAAAGGTGAATGTATAAGTATATGCAGAAATTTTATTAAGTCTTAATGTAAAATATTACAATAATGCCTCACTTTCACAGAAAACAACTATTTAAAAATACATATTCTAAAAATTACTTATGATGATTTATATTCATAGGTAAGGCATCTGGCCCGCCTAAGCAGATCTGAAATACAGCAGAATAAGAGCTCACAAATGTTACTCATAGCCATTAATTGGAATATATTGCTATCATACAGTTATTTTCTATTTGTGTGTGTGTGTGTGTGTGTGTGTGTGTGTGTGTGTGTACAGAGAGACAGAAAATAAAGAGGTGGAGAGAGAGCAAGAGTGAGAGATTTAAGTCCCTGGCTCACATGATGGTAGGCCTGGAAAGTACAAAATATGCAGGATAGAGCAGCAGGCTGGAAAACCAGAGATGTATTGATATTGCTGCTCAAATCTGAATGTGGTGTGGAGGCAGAATTTCCTCTTCTTTGAGGGCTATAATTAGTCCATTTGCTGTTGCTTACCTCAAATTGGGTAATTTAAAAAGAAAAAAAAATATTGAGAACCCTGCACAGGGCTACTGTACAGCACACTGAGATTCATTCCTGGCCCCCAACTACTCTGGAGGAATGGTTGAGTTGAACTGTCAAGGAGCAACCTGTTCTCACCCTGAGCTTCTGGAATCCTGGCAGGACAAGACCCCTCAATCACCATGGACACTTGAGTTGCCAGGGAGAGCTGCTTAGTGAAGTGGCAGCACTCCACTTGGTGTAGAACCCAGAGCATTTGGTGCAGGTGTATCTGTTGTGGAGCTTGTTCAGTGATGCCTATCCCCATAGGCTCAACTTGCTCCCATAGAAGCCTTTAGCTCTGGGGGAACTGTCAGAACTAAACTCTGAAGGGAGCTCTTGCTCATCAGCCAGGGCCAGTCTGACCTGAGCACCTTTTAGTCTGCTGGCTTCTCCTGGGGTCCCAGCCTTGTTGTGTCTGCTTGCAGAGCAGCAACCATTGGCTGGAGACCCTCATCATAGCTCTTGCACTGGCAGACTGCACCTGGCCAGCAGAGCTCCAGGAGAGCAGTCACTGTGGACATGCACCAGCCTGCCTGCTCCCTTCCCCTACTGCAGCTTCCCCAAGGTCCACAGCCATACCCCACATTGCTTTGTTGGCATCCCCTAACACCAAGCAGCAGTTGATGAACATGCACCCTGTCATGTTGCTGCTGGCATGTGAGAACAAAGACAGATTCTGTCTCCCCCACCTTACAAAATGCTTTGTTTATCACTGCCCATCAGGGTGTAGTGACCAGTGTTCTGGAAACACCTTGACCCCCATCCCCAGCGTGATGGATTTCTAACCTCAAGGACTCAGAAAACAAAATTGAGGCCTGATAGCAGTCACCCAAAAGTAGAGCACAAAATCCAGCAACTGGTAGCTTAGCCTTTGCTACCTAAAATCTTCCAATAATGAAGCCAGGAGACGGAATCCAACATATACACACAATCAAACCCTCAAGGTCGTAAAATAGAATTTTAAAAATCCAAGGTGTAATCAGGTTTTTTGGGGTGTTGGTGAGGCATGGCTCCCCCGAGTCTATGCTGTGGATTCTTGGTCTCCGCTCTTTTAAGAATGAGAGAAGGGACCACTGCAGTGCACTGTACACTCGTAAAAGTAAATATCAGACCCAAGAAGTGTTGTGCAAAGGTGATTTTATTTAGGTAGAGAAAAGAGAAGGAAGAAGAGAAAGACTTCCATGAAGAGTGCAGAAGGGGATTCCAGACGGGAAATCCAAGAGGGGAAAGAGAGGTACCACTATGTGGGAAGGGATCCCAGAGAGCTGGAAATCCGGTGTGGATGAAGGAGCAGGGGAATTTAGCGTGGGAGAAATTCCCACCTTCCCAAGTTCCTTTGGCCAATGAAAGGAGTTCCTTTAAACTTCCACTGGAGTGACTGACTCTTCCTGTGCCTGCAAAATTCAAACGTAAACCGTTAAATATCCCAGATGGAGAATGATGGGAGGAGGCATGGCACTGGGAAATTCTTGCCCTTAAAACTACGCCCCCTTGTGGACCTGGTAAGAGAATACATTCCGTCAAAGGGACCACAGCTTCAAAGATTGAAGAAACATCAGCCCATAAAGATAAGAAAGAACAAATACAAGAACTCTGACAACTCAAAAAGCCAGACTGCCTTTTTCCCTTCAAATAACTGAATCAGCTCTATAACAAAAGTTTGTAACCAGGTAGAGACAGCTGAAATCGCAGACATAAAATTCAGAATACAGATAAGAAGGAAGATCATTGAGATGCAGAAGTATGTTGAAACTCAATCCAGAAAAGCCAAGAAGCACAATAAAACAATACAGCAGCTGACAGACAAAATATCCAGTATAGGAAAGAATGTAACCAACCTCACAGAGTTGAAAAATATGCTACAAGAATTTCATAATCACAATCACAAGTATTAATAGCAGAATAGACCAAGGTGAAGAAAAAATCTCAGAGCTTCAAGACTGGCTTTCTGAAATAAGATAGACAAAAATATAAAAACAAGAATAAAATTGAATTTAAAAAAACCTCTGAGAAATATGCGATTATGTAAAGACCAAATCTACAACACATTGGTGTCCCTGAAATAAATGGGGAGGATGGAAACAACTTGGAAAACATATTTCAGTATACCATCCATAAGAAGTTCTCAAACCTGGCTAGAGAGGCCAATATTTAATTTCAAGAAATGCAGAGAACATCAGTGAGATACTTTGCAAGAATGTCATCCTCAAGACAGATGATAATCAAATTTTCCCAAGTCAAAATAAAGGAAAAAATATTAAAGGAAGCTAGAAAGAAAGAGAAGGCCACTTAAAAAGGAAAGCCCATCAGACTAACAGCAGACCTTTCAGCAGAAACCCTATAAGACAGAAGAGATTGTGGGCCAATATTCAACATTCTTAAAGAATGAAAATTCCAACCAAGAATTTCATGTTTGGCCCAACAAAGCTTCATAAGCAAAAAAATGAGATCCTTTTCACACAAATGATGAAGGAATTTGTTTCCACCAGACCTGCATTGCAAGCGCTTCTGAAGGAAGCACTAAATATGGAAAGACCATTACGAGCCACAACAAAAAGATACTTAAGTACACAGACCAATGACACTGTAAAACAACCACAGAAATAAGTCTGCAAAATAACCAGCTAACATCATAACAACGGGATAAAATCCCCACATGTCAAACTAACATTGACTTTAAATGAGCTAAATGCCCCAATTAAAAACGTGACAAGCTGGATAAAGAACCAAAGCACAATGGTATTCTTTCATACAGAAACCTATCTCACTTGCAATGACACCAATAGGCTCAAAATAAAAGGGTGGAGGAAAATCTGTGAAGCAAATGGAAAACAGAAAAAGGCAGGGGTTGCCATCCTAATTTCAGACAAAATAAACTTTAAACAGAAAATTTAAAAAAGAAAATTACATAATGGTAAACGGTTCAATTAAACAAAAAGACCTAACTATCCTAAGTATTTATGAATTCAACATAGGAGCACCGTGATTCATAAAGCCCATTCCTAGAGAACTTAAAAGAGACTCAGACTTCAGCATAATAATAATGAAAGACTTCAACACCCCATTAACAGTATTAGACAGATCCTCAAGACTAAAAAGTAGCGGAGATATTCAGAACCTGAACTTAACGCTAGACCAAATGGACCTGATAGACCTTTATAGAGCTCTTACAAAATACAGCAGAATACACATTCTTCTCATCATTACATAGCACATACTCTAAAATTCACCACAAAGTCGGACATAAAACAATCCTTAGCAAAGGCAAAATAACTGGAGAACCAGTTATTTGGACTGACCAAGAGGGTTTTATGGCCTTAATCTTCTCTTTGGCTCAATTGAACTGCAGATAAGCTTCTTAACTCTAGACCCCTGAAAAATATTTAAGAGTATTGACTATTGCCAGGAGCATGACAGGTTCTTAAGAGCCTATGGACTTGGGCATGACATGGTTCTGGCTCTTAAGGGGCTCACAGTTTGATAGAAAGAATGACTGAAAAGAATGCTCCTTAATGTCTTGAGTTATACAGAGAATGACTATGCACATTGTGAATGGAGAAGGCACCTTCTGGATATGGATGGAAGAAAATGTGAAGGCATAGTAGATACCCAAACAGAGCCTCAAATTGTTTGCAATTTGTATGAGGGCAAAATGGAGAAAGCTTTTTCGTTTTTGTCTACCTTTCTGAGCATTGCATATAATGTGAGGCCAATTGTATTTGATAAGTGAGGGAAAAAGTAAATGAGGGATTAAACTTTTCATTTTGATTTATATTTGCATCACTGTATTCCTTCCCTTTAGAAGTATTAGCAGCTTAAGCTTTTGTCTCATTCTTAAATTTTAAATTTAGAAATTTTAAAGTTATGAATTAAATTTGCAAATTCTTCTTTGTAAAAAAGTCAGTAGTAAGTTGACTGTTGAGAAAGATATTTTGAGGGCAGCTCTACCTACAAGAGACTCAGGGATCAGAGTGTAAAACTTGTCAGAGGCTACTACCCCAGTAAAAGGATCTGCACCATTTTTCCAGGATTTATACCCTGGTCTCATAAAGTTCAGTTCTAGAATTTTCTTCTTCAGAAGGTTACCTGCAGGATGAGTTCTCCTCATGCCCATAATTCCTAAATAATAATAAATGCAGTCATTTTTACTTATTTTCTTTAACAAATATTTATTAATAATCTGTACTGTGCCCTAAGATACAATATTGAGGAAAGTAGTTATATTCCTTTTTCTTATGAAGCTTACAGATAGCCAAAAAATGAAGAAAACAACAATGATTTATGGTAAGTTTTATAAATACAAGAAATAAAATGGTATGATAGAGAATATCTTTTGAGCATAGAGATATACACAATGGGTTCAGGCAAGGTTTTCTGTCATGGGATATCTAAGGTGAGACCTAAAGGATAAAAAGGAGCCACCCAGGTGGAGAGTGGGGAGAAAGACCTCACCACCTGGGTCACTAACTGAAGCCTTGTGTGACTGGAGCACAGGCAGGGAGGAGAAGTGGCAGATGTTACAGTAAGAGCAGCAGGTGGGATTCTCACCTGATGAATGCATGTCTTTCTCTAAAGACAAAGAGAAAAAAGAAGCTATATAGACAACCATATAAACTATTCTTGTCTTTGGTAACTATATATTCTTTAAGATTGAACTATCTTAATCTCATTCATTCATTTTGCAAATGTTTATATAGCAATGACTAAATGCCAATATATATGCTGGGTACATAATGACTAGCCTAATCAGACACAAATCTTTCCCTTGAGGCTTATAGTCCTTTAGGAGTGAGGGATTAGTTAAGTAATTAAGCAAATGCTTTGCTACAAACTGATTAAAAGTATAAAAATAAATAACAGAGAGTGGCGACTATATTTTAATAAGTAGCTCTGAGAAAGTGGGTTATAACCTGAGCTCTAAAGATAGACTGACTTTAGGTTCAGAAAAAATATATTTGGTGAGGTGGTCATGACACTTCAAAAAGACCTTGAGGTGAGGGGAAGATAAAGACTTTATATATTTTAAAAACTTACCAAAAAGGCAGAAAGCAAGGTAGTATAAGGTAAGGGTAGAAGATTTGGGAGGTTCCAGGTCACCTAGGGACTTTAAGCCCATAATAAGAAAGACTTTTTTATAAAGTGCATTGAGGTTCAATGAAAGAACATTTATCAAGGAAATAAAATAATTCAGAGAAGTTTAAATTGTGAAACTTCAGGAAATGGGGAATAAAGGAAATGGAGGGATTAATTGGATAACAATGGTGGCCTGGCCATGATGGTGATGTTGTATAAAAAAAGGAAGAGGAATTTCTACGTTAAAACATGACCCTCTTCCTTCCAAATTTCTAGCCAAAACTTTCTCCTACCTTGTGTGTGAGTTACTTTATTTGTACCAATCATATGGCATTTATAGAGCCCCTGAGAACACTAGCCTCAAGCTTCATAAATCTCAGAGTCATCACTAACACCATCATTGTCCAGAGAAGAACTTCTTCTGAAAACAAGCATCCCTTGGTCAGGGTCCCTAACGAGACATGTCCCTTCCTTTATTTTCAATTTTCCCTACAGTGTCAGGGCATTAGTTTTAATAACCTTGCACTGCACAACTTTAAAGTAGGCTTGAGGATTTAGAAAGTGAATAAGATGTAATAAATAATATAAATTAAGGCATGCATATTCTTCAATTATTGATCTTCAGTTTTCTTAGCTGAGCTGTCACAGAAAATCTCCAAGAATCTTTCCAGATCTAATAGTCGGGGCATAAAGAAGATTGAGAGAGAAGTTCCAGATAAATCATCTGTTTATCTACTCTTTTTCTTTTTTTTTAACCATAACATAGCTGGCCTTTGTTCTCCTTGAGAAGGTCCTGATAACCAGGGCATCATATTGTCACCAAAAGAGATACATATAGGTTCTAGTTTCATGGCTTTGTGGAGATGGGAAAGTGAGAGCTTTCATAGGACTGAAATATGGTCTGGGCTATGCTTAGAATTTTTTTTTTTTAGATGGGGTCTCACTCTGTTGCCTAAGATGGAGTGGAGTGGCACCATCATTGCTCACTGCAGTCTTAACCTCCTAGGCCCAAGTGATCCTCCTGCCCTAGCCTTCTGAGAAGCCGGGGCTATAGGCATGCACCACCATGCCTGGCTAATTAAAAATAAAAATTTTGGAGAGACAGGGTATTATTGTTCTGTTGCCTAGGCTGGTCTTGAACTCCTGGGCTCAAGCAGTCCTCCCACTTCAGGCTCCTAAAGTGTTGGAATGACAGGCATGAGCCACTACACTTGGACTATGCTTAGATTTTCCTAATGAATTTCAAAGGTGACCTACCTGTCTAAGAGAGATTCTAATTGTATAAATCTTTTCAACTCAATTTCAGGTGGAATGTCCATATGAGAAAGTAAACTCGAGTTGGTTTAATAGAACCATCAACCCCTGCCCTGGCTTATATCAACCCATCTGTGGCACCAATTTTATAACCTATGATAATCCCTGCATCCTGTGTGTTGAGAGCTTGTGAGTACTATTTGGGGAAAAGAAGGGAACTGTAAATATGCTTGTTCTTAGCGATTACCATTTACCCCTCCTATCAAGTACATCAACCTTGAAGCCAGGAATTTGCTCCAGTTCACAAAGATAATAATCACCCCCCCCACTCAGAAAAGCACATAGTAATAGAAAGTCCACTGGATTAGAAAGCAGACTCATTGTACCAAATGACATTCCTCAGATCCTTTCTGGTATCTGAGCCCTTATGTTCCCATATGGCAATTGATTGACTTCCACTCAAGAAGCTCTCAAATATCAGGACCTGAATGATTTTTAATTTAAGACAAATTGTAGTTTTGCTTCCTCTTAAATATCTTTCCCCTCTCAAGTGTTTGAAACTCTGAACCACAATGATGAGGTAATTGCAAAGTTTGGGTGTTTTATCTGAGACGATGTTTAGATTTTTGGATTTATATGACATAAATCAGTAATTAGACATTGAAATCTTATAACACAATGATTCCTATATGAGTGAGTGCATTTCACAGAGAGAAACATTTTCCCCATGGCATCATATCAGAGCCTTTACTCCAGTCATTTTTTTAATTTGGTGCAAGGAGCAATCACAGGAATGTACAAAGCCCAGGTCATTCTCACTAATGAGTAATTAGCCCCACTAATGAGTAATACAGTGTGAGGGTATTAACAGAATAGTTGATGATTGATATGCCTCACATATCACAAACTCAGACCTGATTACACAGCTTAATTTCAGAAAGATTGTAGCATGTGTCAAAATATCTTCAGTGGCATCTTAAAATCACTGAATGAGAACTAAATGAGAAATCCAATAATTTTGTCTTTTGTCATTAGTCAATTTCCTTTATACTCTGTATCTTAGTTTCTTCAAATATAAAGTCAGGTTTTAGATGAGATAACTTAAAAGTATTTTTGCAGTTCTGACATTGTATTACTTAATAAAATGTTTATTCTAATACTTCCTTTAGGAAATCTCATGGAAGAATCGGGTTTTACCAAGTTGGAAAATGTTGGCTGAATGAACTTGAATGGAGAAGATCCCTTTTTTTTTTCCCTCCATGTCTCCAATCTTCTTCTTTCACTTTTTACATCTATTTGCATTTGTTCTTGATGACAAAGAGCTATCACTACTGAGCTTGTAGCAGATGGCTTCAAGGTTCCTTCCATGGACCTCTCTTCTTACTGATTCATTGCCTTCCACAGTCTCCCTAATAAATAAACTTTTGTGAAAGTCTGATGTGCTTGGGTCTCAGATGTGTGTCTAAAAATCCAAGGAGAACAAATTCAGAATTTGAGTCATGGGTCAAAGGCAAATATTGGGACTTATCAGCTCTCTAATACTAATAACAATAAAGTAATCTATGTCAAGCCTCCAGATTGTCTTCCAAAGAACAGGACAAAAATTTCCTCCGTATTCCTTTGGCATTTAAAAAAAAACGAGTAATAGGAATTATAGGATATTGTACTCTGCTTGTAGGGTGTCTGTTGCCTAATTTCTTCAAACTCCTCATTAGATATCCTCCCTTTTGGACTCAGCCTTGAGACAGAGGCATTTACACACGTGCAGCTTTGATCAACAGGGCCCCACATTCTCACCAGATCCATTTTGTCCGAAGAAAACCCACATGGTTGGTATCCATAAATGGCCCATTGGTCATCAGCCTTTTTCTTAAATTTTGAAAAAGTTAAAATGTGGGACACCTTTTTCTCTGTTATACTTCATATATATTTTTTACTTCTATATGTATAGCAGACTAATAATATGCTCTAATATGCTCTTTTCCCTTCAGAAATTTGCTCCGTACTGGCTTGGGAAAGAGCATCTATTCTGTTTCTCAATACCTTGCAAGGCTGTGGTCAGAGTGTGCACATGTTTTGTTAGATCTTTGCTCTAACCTCCCATGCTGATCACACAGTGAGTTCATGGCTCCAGGGAGAAGGAAACAATTACTTTTCATTTATCATCTTTAGAATTAATATCTCTTGGAAAAACAAGAAATTCTCTATTTTTATAGCATGCCAATTTCCATTGCTCCAAGTCCTGGGCTATGCGAGAACACCAAGAATTTCAGGGATCCTGAGAGGTGTTTTCTAACATTATTGCTGTACATTTGTTGACAAATATTTTCTTCTGCAATAGATAATTTGCCATTAATGTCATCAAGTGGATTCTTAAAATCTCAAATAGGCACTATTAACAGCCTTGCATGAGATCTGAGCTCTGTTACCTCTAATCTGCTCTAGTGACTCTCTTTGCTTTGGGTAGGTTCTTCACACACAAGCACCAATTGGTAATCTTCTGATCTTTTATCCAGCTCTCCCATGCAGTAGTCCTGCAGACTCCAGCTACTTTTGTCTCTATTTCCTTTCAGCTCTGTATTCTCAACACAGATTTGCTTCATCAAGATTCCTCTTTCCTATTCCCAGAATCTCTTACAATGCCAAAACCAAGGCCAACCATAGAGGTTAACTTATTTATTTTCCATTGGTCAGGAATCTGTCCTTCAGTGCCTGGTGTCCTAGTGTCATTGTTATACATATTTTGTCTGACTTTTTTGTTGTTTCGTGTGGGAGGAGATAACTGGTTTTTCTTGCATCATATTGTTTGAAAGTAGAAGTTGACTTTATCTTTTATCATGCCTTTGGACTTATGTATTTATACTTCTTTTTTCTATGATATCTCTTAAAGTCTAGACTAGAATGCTTTGTCATTGTTTTACTTTTTATAAAAATTCAAATGGATAAGATTTGTGCTCTATAATACTACAAATCTTTTTAGTGGATAAGAAAGTACTGACTTAAACTGTCAATGCATACCAAAAAAAAGTCAGTAAAATTGATCTTTCTTTCTGTCATTTGATAGTAGACAGCCCTAAAGAAGCAAAGGAGATAAGCATACATCTAAATGCAAGACTGCTGCCTTCCAGTTCCACCCCTAAGGAGAATTTTCACAGATCCCTTACAACTGCTAATATAAAATGAACGTCCCCTTTGTGGTCCTAGCTCTGACAGTTACTGCCTGTGTTCTCATTGTTTCTCTCTCTCTCTCTCTCTCCCTCTGTCGCTGGCAGGTGATTTCAAATTTCTCCCTCTGATTCCCTGTATATTTTATCCTTTGGTTATTGATTAGACCTAGGTTTTTATCATTGCTGTCTTCTAACCCACCCTGCTTCCTCTGCATGACAATCCCACTCACATCTGTATTTATTCTGTTGCCTTTATACATATAACTCACCTATGTCATGAGACTGTTCCCATATTCTTAGCATCAGGCACTGGACATCTTTATACATGCGCGCACACACACACACACACACACACACACACACACGCATGCAATTTAATGAGTTTGGACATATGCGTACAACCTTGAAACCATCGTCATAACCAAGACAGTAGACATACCTGTCACCTCTAAGAGTTTCCTCATGACTCTTTGTTTTTGTTTTATGATCTCATTCATTTTTATGGCTGCATAGTATTCCATGGTATATATGTACCACATTTTCTTTACCCAGTCTATCACTGATGGGCATTTAAGTTGGTTCCATGTCTTTGCTATTGTAAATACTGTTGTAAATAAACATACATGTGCATGTCTCTTTATAGTAGAATGATTATAATCCTTTGGGTATATACCCAGTAACGGGATTTCTGGGTCAAATGGTATTTCTGATTCTAGATCCTTGAGGAATTGCCATACCATCTTTCACAAGGGTTGAACTAATTTACATTCCCACCAACAATGTAATAGGGTTTCTATTTCTCCACAGCCTTGCCAGCATCTATTGTTTGACTTTATAATAATCACCATTCTGACTGGTGTGAGATGGTATTTCACTGCGGTTTAGAATTGCATTTCTCTAATAATCAGTGCTGATGAGCTTTTTTTCATGTTTCTTGGCCTCATAAATGTCCTCTTTAAGAAGTAGAAGCTTAATCTTAATTTCACTGGCTCCTATGGAATCTTGAAAGTCAATCTATAGAATATGGATCTTATATATTTTTTAATTTGCTTCTACACATGTTTTGATGTAATGAAAGTTAATGCTCTTACTCTCTCTAAGCCCTTTTTCACTCGAAATCAATTTTAATATACTATAATACAGATTCCTTAAATCAACTTACATATTGATTAAACCCATGAACATTTAATTCAAGTCATCTGTTTTTAATGTTATTCTACTATTCATCTTAACTCTTATCTCAGGCTCCATTTTAGTCTTCTGACCTTAATTTTCCACTTAAATATGACCTGTTAAAAATCACTATCCTTTGTGAGTTATAATAGAAATAAATGTCTCAATATGACTTACAAAACACTTTATTTCATCTGCAAAAGACGCTCTCTAAGCCCAAGTTGAACTATAATGAGCTCTTGTAGGACTTGTAGCAAACCCCATTTGCCCATAAGGTGGCAGTAAAGCATTGCTCTTTAGACCAACAACTGACAAGACTTTTGGCCTACTAGTCATATAACAGTATGATTTTGGGCAGATTGTTAGATCTCTATGAGCTGCAGATTTCTCATCATCTAACATGGTAATATCCTTCTCCCCAGGAAGGTGAAACTTCCTTACTCCAGCCTTGACGTTTATTCAGATTTCACATTGGATGAGAGTATTGGGAAATGTTTCTAACTAATGGAATATTTATAACTAAGGAATGGACTAAACATTACTCTTCTAATCCCATGGAGTTATTTTTCTTTAGAATTAGATTCTTTTTACCCTGAGAAAGTTAATTCAGAAAGGCAAACTTGTGTAAACTGTTTTCCATGTATTTTCCAAGCAAAACTTGGAAATGAGTTAGATATGGGCCTATAGAGGCTGCCAAAAAGTCATTATTATTTAAAATAACATGAAAACAATAAGACAAACCTATACCACAGTTAATTTAATTTAAAATTTTTTGGTTTATTTTTATTATTTTTTTACAAATTATAATTGTGTACACTTATGGGGTGTAATGTGATGTTTTGTTATATGTACAGAAAGTGGAATATTTAAATTAATCTAATTCCCATATCCATCGCTTCACTTATTTTTTGTGGTAAGACATTGCAAATTTACTTTCTTAGCTATTTTGAAATAACTGACATGTTTTTATTAACTGTAGTCATCCTTCTGTGCAATAGACTTTATAAGTTTATTATTTTGTGTAACCAATTTGATAAATACCTCCTCATTTCTTCCTCCCACCCACACTTCTAACTTCTGGTAACCAGCATACTACTCCCTAATTCTACTTCTATGAACTTGACCTTTTCAGATTCCATGTTTAAGTATGAATATGTGGTGAAAGTGAGCATCTCTGTCCTGTTCCATATCTCAGATGAAAAACTTTTAACTTTTCACTATTAAGTATGATGTTAGCTGTGGGCTTGGTATATATGCCATAACTGTGTTTAGATACATTTCTTCTATGCATAACTGTATTTAGGTACAGTTCTTTTCTGTGTCTGGTTTATTTCACTTAACATAATGTTCTCCTATTCTGTACATATTACTGCAAATGACAGAGTTTCTTTCTTTTTAAAAGGTACATAGCATTCCATTGTATATCACATTTGGAAATATATCACATTTTCTTTATCTATTCATCTATTGATGGACATATTGGTTGATTACATATTTTTTCTATTGCAAACAATGCTGTAATAAACACAGCATGCAGATATCTCTTTCACATATTGACTTACATTTCTTCGGATATATGCCCAGAGTGGAATTGCTGGATCATATGGTAGTTCTATCTTTAGTTTTTTGAGAAAACTCCATCCTATTTTCCCTAATGGCTGTACTAATTTGCATTCCCAAAAGGTTCTTCTTTCACCTCCTTGCTAACACTTCTTATTTTCATTGTTATAATAGGCATTTGAACAGGTATGAGGTTATATCTCATTCTGGTTTTAATTTGCATTTCCCTAATTATTAGTGATGTAGAGCATTTAAAAATAAACCTGTTTGCAATTTGTATGCCTTCTTTTGAGAAATGTCTGTTCAGGTTTTTTGCCAATTTTTAATTAGATTATTTGTTTTTTTGCTACTGAGTTGCTTGAATTCCTTGTGTGTTTTGGAATACTAACCCTTTGTTAGATGCGTGGTTTGTGAATATGTTTTCCCACTCTGTGGGTTGTCTCTTTATACTATGGTTTCCTTTGCTGTTCAGAAACTTTCAGGTTTGATGCAGTCTCATTTGTATTAATATTTTGCCTTTATTGCCTTTGTTTAG